AAACTAATTACTGAGTTTGATAATTTTTATCTCTGCTATGCAAATACATATTTGACTATATTAAAATTTTGTTATCTACTATGCAAAATTTTAGGTAACTTAATCAAAAATTTTCTATGTTCAATAAGCAATCTCAAATCTAATATATACATATATTGTTTGAGGTCCTGTTATAAGGCAGAAGATTGATTGCAATTTCTGGCTAACTTATCAACTTTGTTGTTGTAAAGATTATTAGAATGTACTTTGACTTTAATCAGATACATATTTAAATGATTATATGATATAACATTAAATAGGCAAGACCAATTTGCATAATTGTTGATTTTAAGGAACGGGCAAAAAGTAGGTGAGAGGTAAAGAAAGTTTTTAAATTTTGTAAACTGGGATATGATAAATGCTGAGTCAGTATGAATTTTTACTTTATAATGAAGTGGTATAATGATTAGAACTGAGAAGACTGCTGTAAATTCAGGAAGCGAAGATGATAAAAAACTAGTAGTAAATGGTGCGACAAAGGAACATATTGGTAAATCAGAATGAGTTTGTAACTATGCTATACTCATTTTAATAGATGAGATACCAAGGTCTTGAAGGGAACCATCTGTATAAAATTCTAGATTAGTGGAATTAATAAATTGTTAAGCAAAATTTTGTAATTGAACATTATAAGATGAAAAAACATATTTATCCAATAAATTAATGGGTAACCGTAGGATAAAGGGTTGTGAAATAACTACAAACAAAGGGTTAAAATTAGAAAAAAATCTAATTAGCGTGAGTTCATATAGAGCTTCAATTGAAAGAACTATATGAAGGACATCCATGTATTTATTCTTAAATTTAATAGGAATTGAGATACAAAGACTGCAAGAAAGTATGAGAAAAAACTTATAAAAACTAGATCCTAACTTTTGAGCATCTTCTTGATGTAGAGAGTAATGATCACAATCCTTAAATACAATATAGTGATGAGGACCTACTAATGGTAAACAATGTTTAATATGTACGGTATTATTATCAAGGTAGGTAAGATGACCAGTGATAAATAATTTGGTGGTAGTATTCCATCCAACAATATAGCTGTAGGTTCTAATTTTATGTTTAAGTGAACGAGTAGTATAACCGTAATAATAATTATGTTTAAAACTATTTATTAGTAAAAGCATTTTATGCTCGTTTATTAATAGTAAACTCTCAATAGTCATGAACCATTTAGGTGTTATATAGAGTCTTTTCTCAGTATTAGTAATAGTATAGAGATCACTGTACATTAACATGTAGCTACCATAACAGTTAAATAATTGTTCAATATAAAGGACTAAGCATTAATAAAGGTCTCTGACAAAGCTTTATAATGAGTTAGAATAAATTCATAGATAGTATGTGTATTGCCTGCTATAATTTGATGAAAGATAAAGGGAACATTCAAGGAGATGTTCAAGTGTTTTATATTATATAAAGTAGACAGAAGCTAATTATAATTTTTCTGTGTTGTATCATAAGGCTAAAAGATCAAGGGGCTTTTGTATAACCATTCTTTGATTTGTAGTTGTTTGATTCTTATGGGAAATGTTAGTCCTAAAAAACTAGTTTCGTTGGTTATTTATAAGAACGCTAAACTAAAATATTGGAGAAGTCATTATTGCAGTGGGATGATATTGTAAAAATAATGTGAGTAAAACAGATCAGTGGGTGTAACTTGTGGAAGCTTGAGTTTTCTTTTCAAAAAGGCAAGAAATGTAAGCTGTTAACGTTTTGCATTGAGCTTCTTATAGGAGTGATAGTTGAGATCTATATCAATTTTTGAGAAAATTACTGTGTTGTATATATAAATTATTTGTAAATCGGTTAACTTTTATTTTTCATAATGGTGATAGTATTTTTAATTTTCGCATGTAGTTATTTTACAATAAAGTTGTTATTAGGTCATAAGGATATCCAGACACCTAGATATCTAATACTATCATTTGAATGATGAGGGATGAGTTCACAATATTGTTGATTATATTGGATAATAAAAGGTTGTGATTGATAAGTATTAACTAATAGTTCTGATTTTGATCAATTAACTTGGATATTATTAAAGTTAAAAAAACTATTAGCAATTGAAATGATGAATGATAGGTCCTCTCTGGATTTAGCAATCCACAAAGTGTCATTCATAAAAGCTAAAGCAGAAATTTTATATTAGTGAGATGTAGTTTAAGTGAAACGGACGTCAGAATGCTATTGTATGTTCATATTGTACCAATAGGGTGAATCATTAATTCTACACAGCAGCGGATCATAATAAATGCATCACAAAAAGTGGTGAAATTACTTCTCCTTGGTCAATCCTTGAGTAAACTAAATATGTATCAGTATTTCCATGTATCGTGAAAACTTGGTTAAAGCAGGGTATAAAAATCTTTATAATGATTTGAATAAACAAGTATGAGATTTTAATTCGTTCAAAGACTTTGGCTAATATAAAAATATTAACACAATCATAAGCTTTAAACATATCCTGAAGGAGCATTCAAAGTTCTTGGTTGTTAAATAAGGCATCTTGTTTAACATGATTAATTATATGAATAGGGTCAAAAGTCAATTTGAAGAGAAGCTCAGCAAAGTTGAAGCCTTTAGTATATTATATCTAATAAAAATAGAAGCTAATCAGATGTTCAGAAGTTTTGTGAAAGCTTTTCTTGGGCATTCTAATAATGTTACTAATCTAGTAAGATTAAATTGTTACAGTTTTAGTTTTAGAATTGAGTAGACATAGGTCATATTCTATCTTGATATAATCAAGGATATCTAAAGACATCTACAAATAATGTACAAAAATACTTTTTTTCTCAAAAGGCCAAGATGTTTGAGCATTTTATTAGATATCTTTGATAGGTTAGGAGCCTTATTATTCAGAAGTTGATCTATAACTCTCTACTATTCGTTAGCTATCAACATTAAAGTAAAATGATTGTAAATTGATGAATCAATTTCATGTATAAGTTCATAGATTAGTTTTCATTCTTCTGGAATTAACTTGTCCTCGTGAGTTGTACTAGTTACCTGTTGAAAATGTTGGGTAACTTTTCTTCAAACATCTGTTTCATCTGTAAGTAGATCAAGGGAGAAATTTGTGTTATCGAGACACCTGTCTAGAATAATGAGTTTTTTTTCTATTTAAGACAAAGTTTATTATCTTTTTCAGATCAGATTTGTAGTCATCAATTCTGTCTTATAGGGCTTGTTATATTTTGAAAGTTTGAATTCATATTCTTTAAATTTAGCTTTCGTTTATAAATAAACTATTAATGATTGTGTGTCAATTAGTATTGATTTAATATAAACATTATTAAGAAAGAACCCATTGAGATAATACATAGAGAACAATCTTAAGCAATTTTAAGGAATTTTTCATGAAGGTTAAACTATTTGAGAGAGATAAGGTTATTTTTTAAACATTTTTGTGAGGATTTGGAAAATTTCTGTAGTATTCTAATGTTACTGTATAAATTGGATAGGGTGATTGATTATTTAGACAGTTGATAAACTTTAGATTTACTGACGGGAATATATTATTTGCGAATGAGATTAATGTATCTTGAAACAAATCCCAATATTTATTCAAAGTGGATTAAAACTAAGTTGTAGAGATGGAAATGTTTTAAGAGAATAACTATTTATGATGTGATCTAATTTGTCTCTGAATTGTGTCCATTTCTTTAAATCCATTTTGTTAAAATTAAAAGAAGATTTAGTAGGATAATTACAATTATTGGAATTAATTTGTAAAAAGTTAGAACATTTAGTGGTGATAACATAATGATCAAAAATTTGTGTATCAATAGGTAGTACATCAGCATTAAATATATTAAACACCAGTTCAAGCGTTATTCAAATATAATCAATTCTTGACGATGAATAATTACGATAAAAGTGATAAAATGTGATCGATTAGTATTATGTAAAACGGCAAAAGAATCGAAAAGGTTATAATGATTCAATGAATTAATAAATGAAATAGTTTGAGGTAAATTATTTTTCGTACGGTCTATATTTGCGTTAAAATCTCTAAGAAAAATGATGTGATAATCATTTTTAATACAGTACGCGACACTTAAAGACTTCAATAAATTTGATGATTTTTAAAAAGTTATAAAAAATGATACAAAAATAATA